TATACAGAACGGAGTAGAATAGAATAATATAGAATATGGAATAGAATAGAATAAGGAATAATTTAGAATAGAATAGGAATAGAATAGGAATAGAATAATAATAAAGACTAGGCTAGACATAGAATAGAATACAATAATAATATAGAATAGATAAATGTAGAACAATATAGTATACAGAACGGAGTAGAATAGAATAATATAGAATATGGAATAGAATAGAATAAGAAATAATTTGGAATAGAATAGGAATAGAATAATAATATAGAATAGAATAGGAATAGAATAATAATATAGAATAGATAAATGTAGAATAATATAGTATACAGAATGGAATAGAATAGAATAATGTAGAATATGGAATAGAATCAAATAAGGAATTAGAATAGAATAGGAATAGAATAGAATAGGAATAGAATAGAATAATAATATAGAATAGAATAATAATATAGAATAGATAAATGTAGAATAATATAGTATACAGAATGGAATAGAATAGAATAATGTAGAATATGGAATAGAATCAAATAAGGAATTAGAATAGAATAGGAATAGAATAGAATAGGAATAGAATAGAATACTAATATAGAATAGAATAATAATATAGAATAGATAAATGTAGAATAATATAGTATACAGAATGGAATAGAATAGAATAATGAATAATTTAGAATAGAATAGAATAATAATATAGACTAGAATGGAATAGAATAATATAGAATAGATGAATGTAGAATAATATAGAATATATAGAATAAAACAGAATAATATAGAACTCAGAATAGAATAGAATAATGAAGAATTTATAATAAATAGACAACAGAACAGAATAGAAACTTTGCTGTCACTTTAAACGTAGACTAATCAGCAGACATTAAAAAAGGAATTTCATTGCCTGTAGCTCTCAGAGGGGTCTCCCTCTCCAATGTACATGAACACCACAAAATAAGTAATGCAAAATTATGCACATGCCCACTTATACATCATACGTCATGGAGTCTCTTTTGGCTGCCTAGAGGCCGTAGCTGGGGAGGAAAGACAGCCGGGAAGGGGGCATTTTAGTTGGCCTGGCTTTTCTCCCCCACCCCAGCCTTATTCTCCCCCCCCCCCCAACTCCCCTGGCAAAATAAGGCTGACCTCCTTCTGTTCAGCTGCAGAACAAATCTCTCTCGACCCCCCCTGACCCGCCCATTTCCCCAAGGAAAGCACCCTCAATGAGATTACCCTGAGGGCCAGATGTTTTTAACCTCGGGGTCAGTCCCTGCAGATGTGCCCGGACTCTCTAAATGGTGCTTTTTTGTGGCCGCACATATCCAAGTCCTGGGAGCGATTTTTTTCCTTTTTTTTTTTTCCTTTCCTTTCCATCTGCCCCCAAAAGAGACCCGAAGATAAAAGTCATTTACTATAAATTCATTCCTTCTTGCTCTGCTGCAGGATTTTTGCCATCAATTTCACCTTTCTTGGTCCATCGGATAATTTAATCCCCTGGGTTTAAGAGCTTGAGCCGGGGACGACGACGTGGGTGGGTGGGATTTCTTCCCCAAATCTCTGTCGAAGGACGTTGTTCTCTCTCCCCGAGAGCCGGAAGCCAATTCCTGGTCCCGACAAAAAACCCTTTTATTAATTCCCTGTGAATTCTGCTCATTCCCATCCAGCGAAGTTTTTCAAGGGAGGATTTACGGTCACAGACCTTCTCTGGCTTGGAGAGCTGACAGGCCGATATCTGCAGAACTTGGCCAGGAATCAGGAACCAATGAAGTGAACTAATTGTCTCTCTTGACTGGGATGCTTTGACATGGATTCCTGTCCTGGGCAAGGGGTTGGACTAGAAGACCTTGAGGGGCCCGTCCCAGGTCTCCTCTCTGACGCTAAACCAAGGCTAATAATAACTCTGCAACCAGTTTGGCAAGCGAGCGGGATGGAGATGCAGGTCGGATGGTCTTCTGAATGGAAACCCGGGTTCAGCCTTTCCACTTTGCTAACGAATTTAAAAATGAATTTCTGCTAGATTGTGCAGAGATGAATAGGTTGACAATGAAAATAAAGGATAAAGAGGAATCGGAGTACTTCAAGGCATGGGGAAGATTTTATGATTGGCTAGAGAAAGCGAGCTAGAAAAGAAAATAGGGAGAAGAGAAAGTACCCAGATAAAGCACTATTAAATGGAAAGGGGGTGGGGAGAAGGGGAAAACAGGATATGAAATATTAAATATATGTCTATATTAAAGAGCGAGATATAAAGGTGGGGAAACATAACTAGGGTAGAGTAGCGAAGGGAAGGGAACAAGAAATGATACTAAATTATATTTGGGCTGACGGAAATACCATCCCAAGGAAACGTAATCTGAGATTTGAAATATACACCAACAATAATAGAAAAAGAAAGGGAGAGAAGTGGAGAGAAAGAAAGGAAGATGGGGGGGAAGGAGAAGAAGAAAGAGATAAGGAGAGGAGGATGGAAGGGAGAAAAAGAGAAGGAGAGAGGGTAGGAAGGAAGAGGAGTAGGAGAAAGGGAAGGGAAGAAGGAAGGGGAAGGAGAGGAGGTAAGGAAGAAAGAGGTAAGGAGAGGAGGATGGAAGGGAGAGAAAGAGAAGGAGAGAGGGAGGAAGGGGAAGAGGAAGAGTAGGAGTAGGAGAAAGGAAAGAAGGAAGAGATAAGGGGAGGAGGGAAGGAAGGAAGGGAAGGAGAGGGATGGGAGAGGAAGAGAGGAGAGAGGGTAGGAAGGGGAAGAGTAGGAGTAGGAGAAAGGTAAGGGAAGAAGGAAGGGGAAGGAGAGGAGGAAGGAAGAAAATAGAGAAGGGAGGGAGGGAGAAAAGAAAGGGAAAATAAGGTAGTGTCACAACAGGAGGAAGGGATGGTAAATAAAGCAACTCAAACTGTGCATTATAACCTATTAAATGAAATAATAAATATATAAGAATGACAAATGTAAAGAAGAAGAAGAATTATGTGAATGTAGACTTAAAATGGTATGTAAGAGAATAAAAAAAATGAAAAATTCTTTGGGGGAAAAAAAAGAATTCCTGTCCCGGTTTTAGGTGGTGGAAAGGAGGAGGACCCCGGCCGAGATCCGGGAGGAATTTGAACAATTGCAGCGCGAGAGGGAGGAGAGGCGGCTTCAGCAGCGGACCAACCCCAAAGTAAGACTCCGAAGTCGTTCGGGATCCTCCGAGGAACCGTGGCTGTCCCCCGTTGGGCTCGACGGAGGTGGTGGGTCTGCCTGCGATCCGGGCGCGGAGGCTCGCACACGTCCGTTAACCGCAAGGGTCTGTCCCAATTCCGCAGGGCACGATTAGCGTCGGAGTGGACGCGACCGACCTGTTTGACCGTTACGACGAGGAGTTCGAAGATGTGTCGGCCAGCGCTTTCCCCCACATCGAAATCAACCGGATGCACATATCGCAGTCCATCGAGGTAAGAGGCGTGTGTTTGTGCGTGTGTGTGTCTTTTCCCAGTTGTGTCCCCCAGAGGGTGCCTCACACTCTTAAAGCACCTCTTCTGACTCTCTAACTTGGCTCGCTTGCTCGATCTTGCACAGGCCCCGCTCACGACCACGGACACCGCCATCCTCTCGGGAAACCTCTCGACGCAGAACGGCAACGGCGGCGGCTCCGTCAGCCTGGGCCTCCGACGGGTGACCTCCGCCAAAGGATGGGGAGAGGTAAACGGGGGGAGTGGGGGAGCAGGTTTTGAGGCTGATTGGATTTGCTTCAAAAGTGGAGGAAATTGGGTCGGACCATGGGGGTCCTTGGTGGTCCCAGAGCTTGGGAGTTTTCTGGCAGACGTCTCATGACCCAACTAGGTAACCTCATCAGTTCTAGAACTGGGTGTGGTTTGCAAAAAGGAAGAGGAGGAGGGGAGAAGGGAGAAGGAAGGAGAAAGAGTGAAGGGGAGAAAAGAGGAGAAGGATAACGAGTAGAGTACAGTAGAACAGAACATAGAACATAAGACAGGACAGAATATAGAATAAAGAACAGAACAGAATATAGAATAAAGAACAGAACAAAATATAGAATACAGAACAGAATATAGAATATAGAACAGAATATAGAATATAGAATATAGAACAGAATAGAATATAGTATAGAATATAGAATGCAGGACAGAACATAATATAAAATAAAGAACAGAACAGAATATAGAATACAAAACAACAGAATATAGAATACAGAACAGAATATAGAATACAGAACAATATAGAAAACAGAATATAAAATACAGAAAAGAACAGAATATAGAATACAGAATATAGTATAGAATATAGAATGCAGGACAAAACAGAATAGAATATAGAATACAAAACAGAACAGAATAAAGAACAGAACAGAATATAGAATACAGATCAGAATATAGAATACAGAACAGAATATAGAATACAGAACAGAGACTAGAATACAGAACAGAATAGAATATAGTATAGAATATAGAATGCAGGACAGAACAGAATATAGAATACAAAACAGAATATAGAATAAAGAACAGAACAGAATATAGAATACAGAACAGAATATAGAATAAAGAACAGAGACTATAGAATACAGAACAGAACCGAATATAGAATACAGAACAGAGAATATAGAATAAAGATCAGAACAGAATATAGAATACAGGACAGAATAGAATACAGAAGATAGAAAGCAGAAGACAACGGAATAGAAACGGCCGTAAGACGAGGACTCCCTGTAACTCCTCTTCCTCCCCTTCCGTTCCCACAGCTGGAGTTCGGAGCTGGAGACCTGCAGGGTCCCGTTTTTGGCCTGAAGATGTTTCGCAATCTCACGCAACGATGGTAAGGTTTGTGCAAAGGAACCACAAAATACTCCCCAGAAGAGTTTTTGTGTGACTTTCCTCCCCTTTTTGCGACCGTTCCAATTGGCAGAGTCGGGGGGGGGGGAGCTGGATTCCCTTCGCAACCATTGCAACTAAATTAACTGCGGTGATTCACTTAACAGCCGAGGCCAGAAAGGCCGTGAAATGGGGCAAAGCTCACTTGACAACTTAGCGACAGAAATGTCGGGCTCCCTTTGTGGTCGTAAGTCGAGGACTAGCCGCGGTGGATATTTTTAGGGCCTAATTCTCCGTTTCTTTCTGTCTTGGCACGCTGGGCAGCTTCGTCACCACTAACTGTGCCCTCCAGTTCTCCTCGCGCGGCATCCGTCCCGGTTTTACGACGGTCCTGGCACGAAATCTGGACAAGAACACCATGGGCTACCTCCAGTGGCGCTGGGGCCTCCAGTCCGCCATGAACACCAGTGTCGTCCGGGACACCAAAACCAGCCACTTCACCATGGCCTTCCAGGTAAGATGATTCCCCCTTTGCTTTCTTTTCAGGAAGCGTTAGTGAACCGATGCGGTCGTTAAGTGAACTGCGTGGTCGTTAAGTGAATCTGGCTTTCCCCCCATTGACTTTGCTTGTCAGAAGCGTGACATTGGGCCAATTACTCTAGGAGGCAATGAGTTCTAGTCTCACCTTATACATGAAAACTGGCTGGGTGACTTTGGGTAAATCACCGGGAGATTGGGAGTTCTAGTCCCGCCTGAGACACGAAAGGCAACTGGGTGACTTTGGGCGAGTCACCAGGAGATGGTGAGTTCTGGTCTTGCCTTACGCATGAAAGCCAGTAGGATGACTTGGAAGCAATCACCAGGAGGCTGGGAGTTCTAGTCCCGCCTTAGGCATGAAAGCCAACTAGGTGACTTTGAACCTTGACTTGTTTTATTTGATTTAATTTATTTATTTCGTCTTTGCCATCTTGCAGCTGGGCATCCCCCACTCCTTCGTCATGGTCAGCTACCAGCACAAGTTCCAGGACGAAGATCAGACGCGGGTCAAAGGATCCCTGAAGTATGTCAGAACCGGTGGCTGGGCGCTAGATGGGCCCTTGGGTGTGTGTGTGTGTGTGAAATTAGGACAGGGAAGCCCTTAGGGGGGGGGTAATCTTCGGAGGAAGATGTGGGGCACCGGTGTCCTTATCTCTTCTCCTACCTTGGCAACTTTTTAAGAGGTGTGAACTTCAACTCCCAGAATTCCCCAGCGGCTCCCAGAATTCCCCGCTCCCGAAGGCTGGCAAACACTGACATACCGTATTTTTTTGGAATATAAGACGCACCCTTTTCCCCCCTCAAAAAATAGACTGAAAATCTGGNAATTGGCAGGAGGCGGTCTCTCAGGTACCCAGGTCCGATGCCATGAAGGGCTTCCAATTCACTTCGCTTCAAGTGAATTGCAAGCCCTTCATCTCTTGGGATGTTAAATCCATCCAAGGCAAACTGAATTCCTATCCTCTATTTTGCCCCAAGCTGACCCAGAATCTCTCTGGGTTTGGATAAATTTCTGTGCTCTCATCCATTTCATGGCCGACAAGAACCATTCATATAGATATTGGATCCGCTGAACTGATAGCGGCGGCAGCAGCGGGAGCCTCCGCCCACCTGCCTGGACGCTTCTGCACGAGCAAACCCATAGCGCTGGATTTTGAAACCCACCTCTGACCATGTAGCTGTCCAACCACCTGCAATTAGAAATCCTGATTTGATCTTAGAAGATATAGTGCAGATAAAAATGGCTACTCAGCACTTTCCAAGACCTCTGTTGGCATTAAATTGAAATCAGAAGGGGGCAGCACCATGCCAATTAATTAAACTCACAAGCACCCTTTAAAGGTTAATAAGAGTAGAAGAGGGAGAACAGCAGAAAAAGAATGTGAGGGAGAGGCAGAATAGAGAACAGGGAGGGAGAATGAGAGGGAGAGGACCCCCGTACAAAGGCTATACCCAAAAGCCCGAAGCAGATTCCTGGTCCTGACAAAACCGCTTTTATTAAATGAATGAGCAGCTAAGAAATCAGGTTCAACTTGGGAGTAAAGCCACAGGTGGATGGTGAATGGCCCCTCCCATAGGGAATAAAAGAGGAGCGAAAGGGGAGGGGGCTTTTGCAGGAAGCAATTTGTTTGTTTATTCGTTTCAGGAGTGTGAAGATCTGTCCGTGAATCTCAGAGACTCTGTGCCAAGACTTTCTCTTGCACAGCACTGCGTTTGGACAATATTTACATGGCAGCTTTCCAAGCTAGATAAGGTCTGTGCTCATAAATTCACCTTTGAAAGACTCTACCAGGCCTTTGCCAAATATGAATGGGAGAAATCCACATTCGCTTAATAAAAGGGGTTTTGTCAGGACCAGGAATCTGCTTTGTGCTTTTTGGGGGAAAAAATCAAACTCTTTGCTGCCATCAAATAATTGTCTCCAGTTTTGCATTAACCACAAGACAAAATGCCCTGGCAGCGTTTCTCCCCCTCTCCATTCCCCGAATCTTCTTCATGATATTATCTTTATTCCACCCATTATAAATAAATGATGTTTATGTGACAAGCAGGTGGCAGTCAAAAATAAGGAGTCATGTTTGAGGCTTGGTCAACACATCTTCTGTTAAGAGGACCATTCTAGAAAGCAGAGAAGAGATGCTCGAGTCTTCGGACTCTGAATGAAGTATTTTCTACTCTGTCAGTTAGGCAAAGGACAATTCGTTTACAAAGATGACTCAGAACTATAACTGTAACTATGCCATTTCCTGCCAGTTCAGCGGTTCGAATCCCTAGCACTGCATAACGGGGTGAGCTCCCGTTACTTGTCCCAGCTTGTGCCAAACTAGCAGTTCAAAAGCACATAAGTTGGCAGGGAAATTCTGAGAGCTAAAATCCATACATCTTATATTTATAATTCAATGCTACTATATTAATACTAGGGACGTGGTGGCTCAGTGGCTAAGACGCAGAGCTTGTTGTTAAGAAAGGTTGGCAGTTCGGCGGTTCGAATCCCGAGCACCACATAATGGAGTGAGCTAGCTCCCATTATTTGTCCAAGCTTCTGCCAAACTAGAAGTTCGATCGCATGTAAAAATGCAAGTAGAAAAATAGGAGCCATCTTTGGTGGGAAGGGAACAGCATTCCGTGCGCCTTCAGTGTTTAGTTATGCCGGCCACATGACAGTGGAGACATCTTTGGACAGCACTGGCTCTTTGGCTTTGAAATGGAGATGAGCACCACCCCCTAGAGTCAGGAACGACTAACACATATGTGCGAGGGGAACATTTACCTTTACCTAGGGAAGGTAAGTGAATCCCACCGCTGAAGAGGAGCATTCTAGAAAGCAGAGAAGATATGCTCGAGTCCTCAGACTCCGAATGAAGAATTCCCTGCTACATTTGTCAGTTAGGAAAAGAACAATTCTTTTACAAAGATTTTTAATAGAAAGTTAATATTTGACATGAAGAACCAAGAAAGAGACACTGAGTTACTTCTAAGTAGCTTCTTTTATTATTCCTCACCTACAGAGAAAAATCCAAAGTAAAGCTAAACTAAACTATGGTTACCAAACTAAAGGAACTATTTGTATCAAGAATGATATGTTCTGAGAATTAGTAAGGCAGCGCTGTCTTAATTCTCTGCCTCTCAACTAAGCTATCTAAACTTCTCCGTCTCTTGGTCCTCTGGAATGCAGCCTCTCCCTTCTGGGAATCCAGACTACGTTCCACCACAATGGTTACTTTTTGTAATAGTCCCTCCTTATAGTTCCATAGCTTAAAACGTTGGTTACACTTTCATTTAGTCTCACCAAAAAGAAGACAGAGACTTTTGCTTTAAACAGCCAGTCAGTCTATCAATGATGTTGGTTGGTCATATGAATAAACAAAAAATAATAACAACAAAACCCTGCCTCTATAAAGCAAGAATATAGTCACAGTAAAAAAAAGAAGAAGGAAAAATAACAAAAGAAGTTGATGAAGAATCTGGGCCATCGGAAACTCTTATGGAGAAGTCCTCCTCAAGTCCTAACAGCCAGCTGGAAAGCGAGCAAGAGATCCTCTATAGGAAATGAGATGGTTGGGGGCCATTCCTGAAAAGGCTCTGCAACGTTGGTTTACTTCCAAGGGTGGGTAGCAAACATGGTTTTCAGGAAAGATTTGGAAACCTGTTGGCAGGGTTTCTATAACACATTCAACCGGCTCAGTTAAAAATTCCAAGGGCTTCATTCTTAGAACAAGCTAAGCCTAATCAGCTTTAAACTTAATTAGATTTTTTTGTGTGGTTTGTTATACAAACTCAGCCTGTTTCGTTCATTTGTGTCTTCGCGTATTGTGTAAACTGCGAAAGTGGGTTAACCAGTAAACGTTAAGCATGTGGTGTGACCTCAATCATTTCAGGTCATACATGTATATATGGAGCTCTGGATCTTCCATTTCTGTTTCTATTTTCCTTCTGTAGAACTGAATGACAGAATTATACTGGATACGTATCTTCCCAGGGAGCTTCCTTGTGCCTGCAGAAACATAATAATAATAAATAAATAAATACAGGATTTAAAATTGCCTGCCTTCAGGACAATAGCTTTTTTTTTTTAATATATGTTTTTATTCTTTTTCTTAAAAAAAAACCACATACAAAACAAAAGCAAGAATGCTTTATCTGTTGAGTTGTCCAGCCCCACTTCAGGTTTGTGACTGTCGTGTAATTTTAAACTGTTATTTATTTTTTTAATATATCCCCCCCTCCCTTTTATTGTAAGCCGCCCTGAATCTCTTTTGAGAGTGGGCGGCATACAAAATTTAATAAATAAATAAATAAGAAGAAAAAAACAACTTTCCTCCATTTCATCAAGCATGTCATTTGGTTACAAGTTTTTGTGCATCGATTCTTAAGGTTAAGGATGACATCCCTGGTTTTGCATTAAACATAACTGAATATTTCGCTGTCATTGAGCATTATGTGTTCAAATTACCATTAATATTCTTTCATTTGGTAACAATCCTTATTTCCTTGTTTTGAGGTCTGTAAGGAGGGACGCGACCACAGGGTGAACGAAGAACAGTCTTTATT